TCGTGGCAATACTACTAGGAACAAGAAGCTACTAGTAACAAGGGCATCGCTACATGCTAGCTCCAGGCATTGCTACTGGGAACAAGAAGCTACTAGTAACAAGGGCATCGCTATATGCTAGCTCCTGGCATTACTACTAGGAACAAGAGTCTACTAGTAACAAGGGCATGGCTATATACTAGCTGCTAGCTCCTGGCATTACTACTAGGAACAAGAAGCTACAAGTAATAAGGGCATGGCTATATACTAGCTCCTGCCATTACTACTAGTAACAAGGGCATTGCTACTAGGAGCAATGATATTACTCCTCATTTTCCACTGGACATGCTCTAGCCGTCTAGCCATGTCTGTCCACCTATTGCTGCCACGGGGCCATGCTCCGCCGTCCAATCCTTTCTGGCAAAATGCACACAAGGCGCATCCGTTAACTGGCAAAACTGCATGGAATCTGACTTGAAAAACAAATATACTGTATACTATATAGCTCATCTTGGCCCGGATATGCTTCTTGCTTCCGGAGCTCTAAACCCATTGTGGCCATCACCATGGTGGCTCCACCAGCAGCAGTGGCCACTGGATTAACTTCAAAGTCCTCGGGCCGCGGGAGGTCACGTGGGCGATGACGACGTTCCTCGGCCACATTTGGGCTCAATTGGCTAATCAGGAATCATTGGCTCAGAATTTCTTTTGGACATCTTTTTCAGAGCTTGCCATCCCTTCCTAGGAATGTTGGCAGGTTTGCCTCTACACTTGTTTCCAAGTGGCACGCTCCTCCCGCAAATGCTCCAGGAATGGCATAGGTACCTTGCAATTATCAACGTTCAACTCTGGAACAAAACACGTCAACTGTCTCGTGTCTAGGCACCTCTTGCTATTCAAGAACTCTCTGCCAACCGCTGACCCTGCACGGACGGATGAAACGAAAGCTGAATTTGCCTGGCACCTAGTAGGCCTTCTCACTCGCTAGTGGTCGCCACTGTATATTGGCATTGTTCCCGCCCCCCGCACCTCTAGCTCCATGACAAACGTATGGCAAAGTCAAGCTGAAATTGACATGCGATGTACACTACATGTTTTCACAAATCCTCCCATTGAAGCCCCTCTGCAGCTGAGACGCATCCGACTCCATGTCGCTCAAGTCCCCCACCTCAAGATCTCGAATATCTGCATGCGCGTCCTTGGTGAGAGGCAGTCCGCAGTGGAAGTCCAGACCGGCTCCAAACAAGCTCGCAAAAAGCTTGTTGCCAGGTAATGTGACCACAGCTCTTCAGGCAAGAAACCAAGATGCGGTAGTAGCGCAGCGGGCTTTCATAGGCCAGGGTTGGAAGCAGCAGCCAATTTAAGCACAAAAAAGGTTGCAAGGCCATCGATTTGTCATGTCAGCAGCAGCTTGCCAATCTCAAGGCAAGCTGTCGGTGCCGGTGCAAGAAATTAGCTGCTCAGTATATAGTGCGGAAAATGTTGGCATATAGTGTGTATATATATATATAGTAATGTACATCTACAGAAAGCAAGAGCCATAACTTGCCTAAATTGTCAATCAGCATGTGCTCCTTCGGGATCTTTTGCATGTCGCTGCTGTTTTCGGAGGTCGGTGGTCGGAATGGGATTGCACATTCAATTCTGATCGATGTGAGGTCGACACCTGTTTGCCAAATTCCCAAGTTTGAACCACTCCATGCAGGAGATCGGATAACAGCCACTACAACACCACCACACCAAAGACTATCAAAGACTGTAAAGCTCTGCGTGAAGAATTGGCAACATCAACATGAGATGACTGGTGGCAAGCTGGGCTGCGTCAGCCATGCGCTAAGTGTCGGCCTTTCAAGTTTTAAGCAATATGGCCGTCGGTTGTTATGGCGGGACTTGCTCTGCCTTGTGCAAGCAGCTCGCCAAACAATGTTGGATCAGGGACCGCGACCTCGCACCTCAGCGTCACCTGCACCCGCGAGGTCACCACCTTCACTTCCAAACAATACAATGGATGCATAAAATAAAATGTCAGAAATGGACCCATCCCCCGTAAAATGTCCTTGTATGACCTGGCCTGTCATCATCCATTGAAGCCATGGCTTAAACGAAACAGCAATTTTTGGTGTTGAACCACATGGTCCCAGTGTCACTCTTGGCTACACACGTGCTAGGCTCCTCCAATAGCCAGTTCTATGCCCCACAAATCCCATCACCCATCCATTACAGTGTCCAAACAAAACTTCTTCAGCTGACAGTCGACCAGTCTCATCGAGCCCAGCCCTGAAAAGGGTCTGAGGAGGTGCTGGAGGTCCTTGGCAAAGAGCCTGGAGCAACAAGAACGAAGACAACCAAATGGAAAAATTGTGCCGGAATAGTTTCTCTCTTTGCCGTCGTCAAAGCATCTGGCAAACCCATTCACCCCAAATAACTCGGTCATCAACACCTTAAACAAATGCCTTTAGATATCGTTAGAGCTTTTCTATTTGTCCCTTTAATCCTTCTCAGGTCAGCCACGTCGCATCAGACTTCCCCCGGTTTGCGAGCTGCGAGTTTGCGTGAGCCAAGCCTTGCTGCACAGCCGCTAGGCCTCCGGCGACAACATGGCCAAGACAGGAGTTGGAGACGGCCAACAAGGTGAAGACGTCAAGGTTGATGCCTCGTGAAGACGCAAAGCTGGGCAGCATTACACAAGCAGTAAAGTACACTTTAAGTATCATAATATCACTGTCACGTCCAAAAATGTCTAGGGCTACGGTCTCCTAATACCAACAGGAAGGCGAACATCTCCAAAACTGTGGCAGCAAGCCTGTCAGCCATGTTAGGCCCCTGAAAACCAATGTAGCATGTTGCATAGACCCAAGAAACTTGGAGGACGCTACTAGGGGCTCCTGGCCTTACTAGGAGCAAGGACGCATGTGGGCCCAAAGGGTCGCAACTCCAAGGACTGCACAGCGTAGTTTCATTACTTTGAGCAACCCATGCACCGCATGCATGTTCCACAAGCCTGGAGACTGCGCAAAGCCGCCAGATGTGGCGAGCACCTCTACGGCAGCACAGGGCCCCAATTTAGCAAGTCCATGTTTATATATATATTTATATATGTATATATAATATGATATTGTATGGTGGGACAAATGGAAGGAAAAAAAATACTTTAAAAAAGTACCCTCCGTTCAACGTTCTATTCTATCTGAAGGTCCATCACCTTGCACCTTGCCAACCATGAGGCCAACCATGCTCTGCAGGCCCACCACTGCAAACAGAGCCCCCAGGGCGGCTGTACGTTGGCGTGCCCGCAGACTAGTTTCAATGGAAGCTAAGGCTGGAAGCCTTGGCCGTCGGTTTCCTCTAGCAATCGTACTTGGTGGGCTTGGTTTGCCCACGCAGCTAGGCTCTGCAAATGCAGCGTCGCCGCGACGCAAGGCAAAGCGAGTAATTCTTATCCAAATTCAGAACCAAGAAGAAAAACATACAGTACAGTAGTAAGCAAAATGCAGCTTCAGGACCAATCAATCCTTTGATGGTGTCAAGATGTCCAATGTACACATTTGCCAAGCTTCGACAGCTGAGGTGGTATCGGCCCTCCAGGCTCCAAGGCATCAGCAGCCACACCGCAACGGCGGCCCAGATTCCTTGCGACATCGTGGAGCAGTTCACTGTTCACACAATACATGTACAAAAATACATGTGGATCTCTGGCTACACTTTATCGACCTTTATCGCACCCATTTTGTTGTCAGATTTCTCTCTTGGGGACTCTTCATCCTTTGCTACCCGGCCGCGATATTACAACTGCTAACCACTGCTAACCTCAACACTGCTCAGTTAGGCCTGCAGCTGCGAGCTTGGAACCAGCCCACCAAGGAACAGGCCTCAGAGCAGGCTACGCGTTATACCCTGAATGTATGAGTCTGACGGCAACAAAGGGCATCTATATTATATATACAGCATTGAAACGTGCACGCCCGGTGATCTTTGCCTGCTGCCGATGCGTGGAGACATTTTTCTTGTAAATTGGTTTTGATCTACTCAAGGGTCCAGCTCTGTACTCCTGCCTAGGGAAGGTGGAACAGGCGGCCATACCCCTGAAGCCATTTCAGAAATTCAAGCTTCATTTCGATGGCCTCCAAAAAGCAATTTCAGTGCCCCATGTTTCATCTTGCTGAGCTGTCTTGGCGACCCTCATGCACATGATTCTTCCAAGTGGCCACACTGAGTGCCACTGACCCGATGCCCAAGCCCATCGGAGTGCTCAAAACACGTGCGCCTGCGAAAAGTGCGATGTGGTTGTCTACCTCAACCCCGCTCGAATTGAGCGATGCAAGTGTGAAAATCCTCAACCAACCTACCAGTAGGAAACAATCGTTTGCACACTGGGTTTGAAACATGGATTCCATGGATAGTTGAGGCTCAAAGCCTTGAAGGTGTCCATCCAGGTTTCTGAACCCCGTGATGAATGCCACTGGGGGCAACCAGCACAGTCAACTCCAGCCTCCTTGAGAATAAGCCGCAAAACTTGCCACACATAAAGAGATAAGACCAAGCCAAGTATAAATAACTTCTGCCTTGGCATGAAGAAGCACAAAAGAAAAAACTTCAAAAAGCCCTCTTCAGCAGCCAGGTTGGACAAACTCTCTGAATGTTAGGGCAGCCACAAAGCATACAAAGCGCACCCACATGCAAAGTACATACTGTATGTAGACTTGCATGCTCACAACCTTATATATATATATATATTATGCACTACGTTCTTGGCGATGCAAGTTAAATATGCTGAAGCATGCTGAAACATGTCCTCTCTACGTTTCCGGACATGCCTGCATTGCACGTGTAAACGGTCTATAAAGCTGAAACTGCTCCAAAGCACTGCGTAGCTCCAGCGCTGAAGGGATGTCTTGGCATTGGTCAATCGCTGCACCTTTTCGAGGCACTACCGGCCCTACCTAACGCCTCACCACACCCCACAAGGCACAGCATCTTGAGAAAGAACTGGGCTCAACAACCCGGGGTCCATTTGTATATATATATATATATCCATTTGGCATCAAGAAAAGGTTTCTTGTACATGCATACACTCCAAGGGTATCAGCATGGTGTTCAGTGGTATCATGCCTGCATGAGCATCGGGCGACGCCACAGGTATGTACAATAGTGGTTGCAGGCAAGTAGCGACAGTCTTCACACGCCCTGAGTCGGAAGAGGAGTCTTGAATCGGTGCCTCGGACTTGCTGTCCTGGATGTTTTTCTGATTTGTATTCGGTCGTGACAGGATCTTTATTTCCAATGCTGTCCTCCTCCGCGAGTGGCACCACCCTGTAGGTGGGGCGGCGTGCTGGCAATGATGGAAGGACACCTAGAACCAAAGCTCCTGAGAGGTGTGATCCGGTGGATTAACTGTATCAAGAAGGCTAGCCATTCTCTCTCTATCTATCTCTCTCTGCCTCATGTTCTTGGAGCTGAGCTGAGCTGTACAGTCTCGAGAACACAAACAAGAAAAACAGATTGATGAAAGAGTCCTAAACACAGGGGGCGCACCAAATCGTGCCCAAAGCTTGGTGCAGGTGCCACACTTGCCCCCAGCGGGCTGGCTCGCACCTGATGCGATCGCTAGACTCTTGTGAGCACATCGACAATCTGATGAAATGATGTTTTGGGTTTTGGGTCGTGGCAAGGACCCTGGCATGAGGATGCCCTTTGATAATCTCTTGACAGTGTTTGAGAAATTGTGAGAAAACACCAGCCTGCAAAGGAGCAGTTTGCACCGCAATTGGTGCAACTTGCATCTTAGAGTCCGAATCGTCCTGCATGGTCCACGAAGTGTCATGGAAAAAAAGCTTTGTGGCGTTGACTTATGGACTCCCGACTCCGCGGTGAGCCAACCAGCAACACCTCCAAAATTGACAAGTTTGCTCACAACATCTCACAAACACATAGTAAAATCCGCCAACCCCGGTTGAGGAACATGGCACTGACAAGGACACAGTCGAACACGGTGACCAGCGGTAGGCGGTGGCCGGTGGACATCACTATCACTACATTGATATTTTGGCGGGCCCATCCGGGCCCCATGGCGGAAACAAAAGAGGTTCTTGGAAGGTTCGCTTGATTGCTTTTCGCAAGCATGAGTCATGAGCATCAAAATTCATTTTGGGAAAGCCAGAGTTGATGTCTACGGTCCAGCCTCGGGCCTTGGGTTCGATCCCCCTAACCTCTCAATTCCCTTGCGCACTTCACTGGGTTCAGGGTTCAATTCACGGGTGGTCTTCACCATGAAAGCATTACAAACACCTCTTCCAACAAAACAAACTTAAAGGCCTTTAAAACACCCAAAGCGCTGCTCTATTTACGCACGTTGGGCGCCTTCAAAGGATCAAATCACAGTAATTAGTTATATATATATATAAATAGCAACATGGTGCCATTTGATTGTAACTTACTAGGCACAAAACACAGCTGCACCGCTGTTCGCGACATTGTCGGTTTGGTGCAAGTCGATACAATACGCGGCACACGTGGCACAAAACCCAAAAGGATTGTAGCTAGCTAGACCAGACACCATGGAAAGAATGCGGCAATGTAACATACAATAGGAGCTTTTACTTTGTCACAATGCTCCACAAATCTCTACACTGCTTGCTTTATAGAGCGCTCGACCCCTTCCTAGACAAAAGAATACGCGCTACCTTCATCGCCACTAACGCGAAGCGTGCGAAGCGTTATCCATATGCCTTTTCGGACAAAATGCTGCACAGTTTGCCACTTCAATAAGCACATTGGTTCATAAAGGAAGTACTGACTTGTGCCTTCGATTGAACCAAGAATGTTGTCTCGAACCCAGAATCTGTCCTGCGGCTGGAAGATCAACACGCGGGCTAGGCGTGTTGCACAGAAATGGCTGATGGGGAACACGCGCACAAGCAAGTTTCAAGTGCCAGAGCTAGTCGTCCTCTCCAAGTCTCATTGTCCTGCATATCCGATTCCTTGTTACATGTTCTTACTGCAGTCTTGCTCCGATGTCCACACCTTCCACAGCTCTAGCTATGAGCCATTCAGAACACCAAGCTACAAAGGCCCAACGTTCTCTTTCACTGAGCACCGGTACTTTATTCTCATCTCAGTCAGCTGACGCAGGAGACCTGGAAAATGCAGGAAAGAGTTGTGGAGCCACGGGCAGGTGTTGATGGTTTTCTCCTTTTCCTACTAGGTCTTAAGCGGATTTTGGGTACAGTGCCCCATGTTCGAGCCAGGAACGTCAAGTGACATGTGACTGGTGACTAGTGCAGCTTGCGCCGCAGGTCGTTTACTTGTTTGCATGTCCCTCATGCTAACCGTGATTCGGTGATGGTGCTTTCGGGGGATTGTCATCTTAGTTATATGAACAAAGTGCAACCACGCTCCGGCAGTCCTACACCCACACTTCGTGCTTGGTACGCTATGCAGTGTTTGAGGCAAATCCCTGCTCCTTCAATCAGGTCTGCTCTAATGTGTTATCCCGATCGCCTGCCTGCATCGCTCAAGGTCCGCCTCGCACGAATTTGCAAAGTGAGAAATTACTTGGGTGGCTCAGTATGGACGATCATACTATGGCCTACGGAAGCGGAGAGGGTTGCGTGGTCAATTACATGCAATCCTAAGCTTCCAGGCTTGGCCCGGCCATTCAGCTCTGCAGCCATCAACGCATTGTTGAAGTCTGTGAGATGCCTTCGTGCAAATGAAGCTCTGTCTCACGGTTCGAAGGAGAATAAACACAAAAGTTCCAGGAAATGACGTGCAGTTCTTCCCGAAGGAAGTAGTATGAGGCCTTCGAAGGCCCCCAGCTCCATCAGGAAACAACGTGCCAGGCAAAACCTCTGCAAATGATCATTATCATGAGAGACATGGCAAGTGGCTGCTGTGATACGAGTTGGGCTGAGCAACGGGATTGAATCAATCTACATGGATTTGAAATTTGCATTCAGCAATCTGGCACAAACAGCTTTTCGGTCGCCCCACGACTCAACTATCGGCAGACTGCCTGGACAGTCAGGCCATCGCCCCAGCTGAAAACACTGAAACCAACCCGTAGATCTGTAGGTCGGAGTGAATCTGCTAGCGCTCACTGCGGCAAAGGCTGGAAAAGGTGTTTGAGCTTTGGGTGATGAATCAGCTGCACTGCGGAATTCCAGAGCTCCACATCAAGTTCGCCATCTGGAAGTTTGCATAGGCCTGTGGCACAGAGTTGGCCTTGGGGGCCCTTTGTTCCAATGACCTCGACCAGCTGGTTGGCACCCAACTCCATTCCAGTCGTGTTGGCAAGCGGCAAGGGGGCTCCGTCAACTGTCTGCAGGATCCATTGCTGCGTCTCAGGCTGGAACTCACAGCGCCCCGCCACTCGAGCCGCGCAGCCAACCGACGCTCCGTTGAAGACGGCCGCATTCATGCGCTCAGCCACTGCAGCCATTGCTCAAAGGGGTCGTCAGCACCAAAACAGCAGATTCAGGTCTAGGCCGGTCTGGGTTTCTGTGCTTGAGCAACGTTCCAGCCACCAGAGTTCGCTGCATCTACCAACCAAAGATCTTGCGGCAAAACAAACATTGGTCCCAAAATGTCCCTAATCTGACCCTGCTCGGTTCTTCCTGCAAACTCTGGCTCATTGCACCGTGATGGGGCACAATGTCACAGTTCCATACAATTCCATGATGCCTGGCCTGTGATATGGAGAAGTTCTCTCCAAGCTCAGCTAGCCTCGACCTCGAGGTGCTCAACTGGTGCACACTGTGCACAAAGGCCAAGGCGCTAAGCACCCCTAAGTCTGAGGCCACAATGCGCCCAATAGGGCGCGACTCGCAGGCCCAGCCACTTGGCAAATGGTCGGAAGGGGTATATGCGGGAATTGAAACACTGTCACAATGAATGAAATCAAAGCAACGTGCAAACAAAAGCTACAAGACCTGCTACAACATGCTACAACAACAAGATCCCACTCAATATCTGTCATTCCAACCCAATCAACCACCCAATTGTTCAATGAATGCTGCTGTCTAACCGTGCGACGTCAATCAAAAGCCCCATTAGCCTTCCATCGTGGTTCTGCTAACAAAACAGAAGAGCATGTCAGCAATCAATAACCTTCTGGTCAGCTTCCTGCCTGATGCTGGTTGGTAAGAGTTGAAAATCAACCAACTGCCGGCAATGGCAACCTTACAGTAGGGTGTTGGGAAGCTTTAAGCAAAAGGCCAAACATGGAAGAAAAGGCAATCCTATGCCTGGCTCCAAACAGACCCCATGCTTGGACAAGTTATATATAGTATATATAAATGCCAACATTGCTATAGTGCCCGTGGTACTGTACGCCCTTCGAACCAAGTCACCTGTTTGCGAACATTGTGCCCGAGGCCGAGGCGCCAGGATGGGCTGCCACAAAACGACTGAAACTCACCGCCAGCAATGCCACAACCTGGGAGATGAGACCCACAACGTGTCAGAGGGGTACGGGATCAACCAAAAAATAGCACCAATGAAAATGTTTAAACTTGATTGATAGGATAACAAACACTAGAGCAAGGACAACAGCAGCAGGGCAACAAAAGGATCAGGCAGCCCCGGAGCAGAGAAAACCAAAACACTAAATCAACCGACAAAGAAAACAAAAGAGAACCAAAAGGATAGATAAGAAATGCTGGACACAGCAAAGGTGGGCCCTATCACCAACCGGGTCGAGGACAGTGAAAGCATGCTTGCCACACATCATCAAAGAGACTTAGGCGAGGCCATGCAAGCAGTGTAGATGCGATGGGTGACCTTGAAAAAATGTTTTCATGGCAAGCGCAGTGCATTGGCAAGAGTAGTGCAGATTTCATGGCGCTGGAGGGGGGTTAGAGGGAGGGCAAAGCGCCTTCCCCCGAAAATCAAAGCCACCACACTCAGAAGGCACCACAAAATAGATCACCATTGAAACTACACATCCAATTGCCCCATCAATGAAGGGCATCCAGGAAGTGACACAAGGACCAAGGCAACCAGGGAGAGCGCAGCACAATCTTCCATAGCAAGAAAATCTAGCCCTTTACTTTGCAGAGTTCAGAGTTCGCGCCAAACTCGCAAATATCATGAATTTCGCAAATCTCCCGCTTTCTGACCAATGGACCACCAAGCCAGCAGACCAGGAAAAGGACCAGGGGACCAATGGACTAGGAGACCTGCTCAGGATTATGCTGCTGATCATGTCATTACAGTGTTTTGTTGACCAATACCGAGGCACCGTAACTGTGAAGCGTGTGAAAACGCTTGGCAACCAAAGCACTAGGTCGGCACCTGGCCAAAACCGTTCTCATCCATTGCACGTCTGCCGTGCCACCAATTCAATTGCCTGCACCAAGCGCACCAAGAGCCATTGAGACAGCCTTAGCTTATGTCTAATGTTGATTTGACTGGATGTGTCAGCTGACAAATGTCTTCTCTCTTTGCGCTGATGTCGTTGAGCTGGCCATGAGGAGTGCTCCAAAGAGGAAAACCCACTTAGAGACTTCTACTGCTCATCTCAGTAGCAGCACTATACCATGGGAACCAAAATCTGACTAAGCGGGTGGCTCCAACAAAGTCTTGTCCTCAGAATGGGTCAAGGACCAAGGCTCCAAACTCCAGACAAGCTTCCTTACTTAGCCTTACTTGTTGCCAAAGGATGCTGAAGGCATCTGGGGGCACAGCGCCAGGATGATTTGAACTCCCATTCTGCCTCATGGCACCACCAAACAGAAATGATAAACAAAAAAGATAAAATAATACAGAACACCTAGATCCGCAGCCCCAACCCCACCGCTCATGCTCGACGAGCATGACACACCAGAATTGAATGTAGCTTGGCTCTCTGCCAGTTTGTGGCTGGGAGGAGCAAGTTCCAAAAACACGAGGTTGGCCTGCCCTGGCCACAAATCGCAGGATTCGATTTAAGTTATATAGGCTTTCGGAGCGCTGGAGCATAAAGTTAGGTCGTATGCAGGCCCTGCTGGCCAAAAACCACCCATCGTACAGTTCAAGCGGGTTAAACCACTTGCTAGTTGCCAACCTCCACCACAGCGAAGCATATTATGTCATATGTTCTATCTGGCCTTCTGCAACTTGAGCCTGGCCAGGCTCCTAGGTGCAAAGTCTTTATAAGTGCAAAATGGTACGAGTGGTCAAACTGTGTGGAGTAGACGGCTTGAGACTGGCCGTCTCCCCCAGGCATGCTCTAGCTTGGTCACGGACTTTGGGAATCTGGCAGGTACCAGCCCTGAAGTCTGCATGTTTGAGAAAACAAGAAGATTCGGCGGGCAAGTCTCCAGGTCCTGTGGCATGCTGAGCTTCCCGGCGAGACGCCCATTTGCTGAAGCCATGATGCCGTCTCTGGTGCAAGGCACAAACCTTTCACGCCACGTCGGGTTACACGGTTACACTTGCTGAAGAGAGGAGGCATCGTAAAGAAGCTCTCAAGTGAATCAAAACTCGCTCCAGCAGGATCTTCAACTCAATTCCGGATCCAACACCTTGCACTTTGTACTCAACAACAGTAGGGTCAGCACGTGCTTCTTAGTTCATACATGTTCATATACCATCACGAATCACAATCGTCAGTTATAGTTATATAATGCTATATACGTATATATATATATATATGTGTGTGTGTGTGTGTGGATGGCCATTCTAAATCAAGCAAGTGACTCAAGATAGTAGCTCTTGCGACCACTGAACTTCGGTCTAATGCTTGATCATCGAACCGTAGTTCAACCAAGCCACATCGTTGATAAGAAAGCGAGGAGTCACCTGCAGGAGACACCACGGCAATCCGATCGATCATGCTTGACCCCAATTAGGCAATCAATAGCCTGTGTGCCCAGTGGCCCACTACCAAATAACTGGCTTAGCATGCTCCACTTGTAAGTTTCTCGGCTTGAATCAACTTAGAAGAATTACAGTAGTAGTAGGACGGGGAGATGGAGGTGCCTCTCCAACTATTCGCCGCACCTTCATCGACCAAACGTTCAGGCAGCCAAACTTGCAGCAGCTGCACGAGCGATAGCAAGGAATCTGGCAAACCTTCGGGTAACCTCAAACTGGGCTGGTTCCGACATGTTCCCACCACTGCATGTTGCGCAAATCTGGGATCTTTGACACTCCCAAACATCGCTGCAGCTACAAGAAACCTCGGCTGCTGATCACCAGCGTGGTGCCCATGTGACAGCAGCGCAGGCAAAAGGGTGGCATCAGCAACAATGGAGCGGCGAAACCTGAAGGCTCAATCGCCGGCACACAAATAGATCAAATAGCCAGAACTGTCATTCGCTACCCAGCAATTGTGGATACAACTTGCATCTCAGTACATGCACGGCAAAGAAAGAAGCATTTGTGAGTGCCTGCCATCTGGTGCAGCACACTGCGGCCCATATTGTGTGTGTGTGTGCGCGCGTGATCTTGTTAGGAGTAACACTTTCAGCTCACAAAGAAGGATTGATACAACCAGAACCTGCTTGGAAAGTCTGGGCTCGGCACTGATCCGCTGAGGGCAACCTGATCACCTCTCAAACTTGTGCTTTCAATCAGGCTTAGGGCGCATTATCTGTTTGAATTGTCTCAGATCTGGTTCTTAGGGATGCACCCTGTGCCAACACTAAAAGTCACACGGTTGGCGAAAAGAACCTGAATTAGACTCAAAGCCAACATTCCATGCAATGATGGTATAATGTGGACCGCCCTAAGGTCTAACCAACTCGCTAACCCTTTCTCGGCCTTCCACCATCGGTCAGCCATTTGCTTGGCCATCATCGGGGACATCTCCAAGCTCTGTGCCAAAGAGCGATGATCTGCACCTTACATGTGCAAGCTGAGACGTGCCATCAAATTCTGATTGGGCAATTGTGGCCCAACACATCCCAACACCACCATCAGCAAAACCAGCCGCAAATGTACGTACCACATTTGTCTGGCCACTTTGCTTGAAAACTACATCAGGTGGTGCCTGCGCGAAGCACGCCAAGGATCTTGGGTGGTTAGAGCAAGTTTGGATTATGAGGCCTTCTCTGGCATGCTAGTCCTGATTCTAGCGGAGGATTGGCATGGAGAAAAAGCAAACCACTGTCGGATCAAAGGCCTTCATCCTTTGTGGCTTTGTCAAACATCAGTGGGAAATGAAAAGGTATGAAAAGGTAGGTTGGTTGGTTGTCTCCCAAAGGCGGCTCAGCGTGCAGACTCTACTCTACCGTTGGATGGGTTTCAGGACAATCCTTGGCGTTTGGATCTTTTGGCTTGAATGCATGCGGCCAGGCAGGTGTCATACCATAGTGTTACTAGCACAAACTTGCCAAGCTGTGATCTCGTTGATTCTATGAGAGTTTGGCACCTCACAATCAGACATAATTTGCTTGCTTTCGTCGTTTGTCGCAAATGTGCCTCGCCACCGTGTGACAAACCATCCATGATGCTCTATGATCCCTGTGCCCGGGCACGGCTCCGATCCAAACGCCACCAGCTCGGCTCGGCCGACCACTTCGCCCGCTTGGCAGCCCGCTCGTCTGCCAGGCCCGTGCGGCGGGATCCACCTGAAGAAGGTGTGTGCTGATGGCTTCAACTTCGGTCTCTGGTCTCACACGGTCATTCCAATTCCCTGTAACTGAAAAACTGCTTGGAACCCGGAGTCGTGAGTGACATGAGAATCCCTGCCTACTAGCTAGCTGCATCTGCCCATAGGCTCAGATCTTTCGGGCCATCCCCTTTGCCAGCCTTCCTAGCCTGTGGCTACAGTAGCAGCATACTGATCTATCCTGCACATTTGGAAACTGAGACTTGAACATCTTGAACCTGATTTCTCCCCTTGACTGTCTAAACCAATCGTATTCGGCAAACTTCCTGCCTTCACCTGCAGGCAACTCTCGCAGGAGAGATTCCCGGCAGCGGCCCCAAAGCAAATGCTTTGCAAAAGGAAGGTCTTCAACTGGCAGTGTCCTTCACCCGCAATCGGGGGCAAACGGACTTTTCTTGAATGTTAAAATCAATCTCACTTTCAAGAGTGTCTGTCCTTTCTATTTGCCAATCTGCAGGCAGCCGGCTTGACCACTGAGTAAACTCACCTGTGAGCAATAGTGATTCTTGCAATAGGTAACTCTGTCAACTGTGGGGTCCGGTTGGGTCATAATTCCGCTCGCTATATTCTTCACACTCCTCAGCAACAATTGTAGCAGCATAGATCCCAAACAGTTCCAGAAATGACTCTCGTCGTGGATTCTATAGAATTGTAGGTTCACGCTATTCGCACCCTGGACGCCCCCCATTCTCCAATCAACACAAGATAGCATTGGAACGACAACAAAATGTTAAAACTATACGAGGACAGCCGCACACAAAAACAAAATGACAAAGCATGGACAGGTGCAGGCGCAGGAGAACAACAGGAAGACAACCAAAGGAGAAAACCGGAGCCAAGCTTGCAATCGTGGCCATATCATGGACAGGTACGGTGATAGGAGGACAACAAGAGGACCGCAGAAGGAGAAGAGCACACCAGGACGAGCTGTGACTGGAGAGCAAGAGGACAAAAGAGGACCACCCCGCGCACAGACTGCGGCCAGCTCTTTTCCTAAGAGAGAACTCCAACAGTAAACTGTTCGGAGAAAAAGAGCTTAAAAGAGAGGAGACAGAACAAAACATAACAAAACCATATGTGCACGGAATTTGGAATCTGTTTCAATAATCTTCAATGATAGAGATAGCGACCGATTGACAACATGCCACGCAGCACACACAGCGAAGAATGTGCCTCCTAAGGACGCTTCGGCTTCTTTGGCCCAATCGTCCAACAATCGTCCAACATCTTTGGCTTCGGGTTGTGCCAGTTCTTTGCCTTAGGGCCACGCACGGTGAATCGAGTCATGGTGATCTTGAGCGATACTGGAAGGTGTTTGTAAGGTCTCCCAATCAATGTAGACAAACTCAATTGAGTCAAGGAGAGTATTTTTTGAACCTTTTTCCAGCAGGTCGGTGAGCCATCTCTCTAGCATTTGAGAGCTGAGTCAATGGCATACAGCATCTCGTATGTTCATTAAAGTGGGTAAAACTTGATCGACATCTCATCAAATCATATTATGCGCATATACGTATATTATACTCGGTTGAGCGCACTAATTCCTGTCGTGCAAGCTAGTCTTGCTCACCTCCCCGACCACCCCACCAACGCTGTTAGAGTAACTTGCAAATTCACGTTTCATCGAAGCGAGATACTGACAGTGGTATTCAGTGCCTGGAGTAATACTGGCTCGAGCCCTTGAAAATGAAGGCCCACCAAGAAGACCTGTCAACTTCCCATTTGTGGCACGTCAAATTTGCAACTTTAAAAGAGGTTCGGTTCGGTATTACTACTGTATTTGATGCTATTTGGGCAGCACCAGCCCAGCCTTGTGGCCCCCAGTCACAGGCACCGCGCAAAGCTCTGTTTGCAAAAAAAGGCGATTGGCCTAGGCCGGCCCAGTTTGAGAGTTTGAGAGTCAGAGACCTTTCATTTGGATTGGGTCCTGCAAATCGGTTTGACCAAGCAGCCAGCGCGGCCAGTGTCGGCCAGCGAGGGAGCAATGCCAAAAGCAAACAGCCACCCACCCGGAGTCCTCCTCCAACTGCATCAAGTGCAACATGTGCAACGTCTTAGTATTCATCGTAATTCTGTACTATCATTGCACTCTCCGATGGCTGGAGCGGTTTGTCCCCAGTTCATTGAGAATACCATGGCTGGATGAAAGTACTACATCATAAGCAGCTCCGTAGCTTTGGAGTCAAATTCCCTCAATCACCCTGTCCTAGAGCTGCGACAAAGCTTGCCAACGCACTTGCCTGTGGGCATTTTGCGTCAGGTGGTGTCCAAGCGTGTAAATGTGAGTGATCAGGCTGACAAACCAAATTACAGAGTGCTGTGAGATCCTGATCCCAGCCCCTAGTGTAAATTTCAAATTTAAGCTTTAAACAATATTTAAAAAAACTACAGTAGCAACTAAATCAACCATGCAAACAGTTCCTCTGCGTCCAAGGTAGTAGCTTCCTTGCTAGTACCTCTTGCTACAGCAGCCACTAGATGCTACTAGCACTCTACCTGTACCTGCTGCCGCCCCTAACCCCCCGTGGCCCTTCAAAAGAAAATGAAAGAAGAGAGCCTCGCTTTCAGGCAGTGCTGAGGCCACAGAGAGGTGCATCAACCTCGAGGCCAAGTCACCACGGCCTCAGCAAAAAGCCTGGAATTTGTGCTGTGGGGGTACAACTGGCAACAAGTCATGTTTGTACTCAATTGTGTTTTGGCTTCTTGCCTTGCAGCTGTACAATCTATGTTGATCCTTCCTGTGTCCTTCCTTCCTTTGTTATTTTTGATGTTCTGCCTCATCTTCGGAGAGCGGTCACACCAAGTCTTAAATCCTCAGGCTGGCACCCAGGCCAATCCATTTCCAGTATTCCTTTCCATTCCAAGATTGCCCATCCTCATGTCAAGCTGTGTCGTCCGATATCTGATTTATTGATGGGTCAATTAAGTGCAAAAACAAAAAGCATCAAACAAACACAAACTCTACTAGGAGCAAGGGCATCGCTACTAGTAACAAAGGGCATCGCTACTAGGAGCAAGGACGCTACTAGTAGCTCCTGGCCTTAGAAGTAGGAACAGGGCTCGCACTCCCTGACGCATCATAAACACAAATCATCACATTCACAAACCAACATGATGTCGGCCAAAGGCTAAACATGGCTAAACTGCTGTCATGTTGCCACCAGCCGCCCAGTGTCTGAGAGGGTGTGAAACCAATTGCCAGTGTAGTGGAGGAAAAGCCTCGGACAACATGAGTCCTGTGATAAATATCAGGCTAGGATGTTCCGGAAAACAGCAAGACTAAAGTGGCTATATAAAGGCACGGGATGGATGCTGGAGATTGATAGTGAAACCAACCAGTTCTATCCGTTCCCATGGAACACATCCTCATCAAATTAGCCATTTGAAAGGTTTCTCTCCACCTCAGTCGTTGACGCTTCCTCCACCTCACTCCATTGTGTCAGGCCGTGCTCCATCTGTGGCTGCTCTGAAACTGCACGCCATCTCCAACTGCATGGCTCCAGGGCCAGGAGGTGGTTCAAGGCTAGTACCTGAGGAGATCGGCTGGGCTCACGCTCCCAGGAACATCCAGGATCATTTGCCAACTGTCAATGTGACATACAAGTCGCCCGTTCCAAGGCGTCCGAGAAAGCAGCGATGGCCTCAATGGCCTCCAACCTAAAAGCGATGGCCTCCAATCTAGTAGCTGTGGATGCCAAATCCCAGAGAAAAGCAACATGTCGAGTCGCAGAGAGTGCTGCATCCTGCCCGACATGAAGGCTGCAAAGCTTCTCTGCTTGTCGAACCATCCAGCTGGCCTTGGCCCCGTGGCTTGGACGTGGACGGTACAGTAGTAGATGACAAAAAAGGGCAGGGGGGGGGGGGATAACTTCACTCGGGTCAGCCTCCAATTTACTACATGATATCACATGCAGCACATAGCAAGCCTGCCAAAGCAACGTAATAAAGGACAAACGGTGGAAAATGCCTTGAAAGGAGGTCGTTCAAACCTCCTCTCCGGAATAGTGAATTGCGTTCTACGATGACTCATTATTTGATATGTTTTTGCACATCAGCGATCTAGTTGCATAGGTGTCCCAAAGTGTGCACTCAGTCCGGCACCTTGTAGTGGCGCAGCAACAAGAGATAGCATCGCCAAATTCTTAGTGCAATTCAAACGTTCGATGCCGGGTTGAGCTACGAGTACCCCTAACATGTGCACAGAAAATGTTCATGAGCATTTGTGGCCCAAAGATTGCCAAGATTTGAATCAATGCCGACGCTACTAGGGGCTCCTGGCATCGCTACTAGGAACAAGGACGCTATTAGGGGCTCCTGGCCTTATTACTGAGAGCAAGGACGCTACTAGGAGCTTTTTCGATGATGGGCTTCACAAAAGCCACGTTCAAGGTTTGATGTCCCGAAGGCCTGACCTGTCTGCCAAGCGTCTCAGAGAGGTCCTCTGCAGAATCCAACTTGAGGAAATCGACGGATGGCCCTGTCAAACACGCAATGTATCTTTGGGCTTGGTTCGATTTGGTTGGCATCCTCTAGGAGCAAGGACGCTACTAGGGGCTCCTGGCCTTACTAGGAGCAAAGATGCCACTAGGAGCATCGCTACTAGGGGCTCCTAGCCGTACTACTAGGAGCAAAGACGCTACTAGGAGCAAAGGGCATCGCTACTAGGGGCTCCTAGCCGTATTAGTAGGAGCAAAGATGCTAGTAGGAGCAAAGGGCATCGCTACTAGGGGCTCCTAGCCCTATCCACATTTCAACCCGCCTGCTTGGGCAGCTCCGCCTGTTTGGGTGCCCGACACGGCGAGGCGAGCAGCCAAGTCCTCACACGATGCCGTGCTTAACGCGGTTTCTGATCGACTTTCCAACTCTCTCGCCAGCCCTGAGAAACATGAGAAACCAGGTTCAATTGCCCATGGGTGCGGCCTGCTGCCACCTTGCTCCACACGACTGCGGCTTTGGCAGGGGTAGAGATGGGAGCGTGGCCATAGCACATTAGGCGGGCAATGATTCATAAGGGCGAAGTGAAGGCCAGAATGCTGGTGAGCAACTTTTTCAGGACATATATGCCGTCGCCTACTTTACCTCAGAATGCCCGCGCGTACTTCGCGTCGTGCTCTGCCTTATCTTTTTTGGTCCGTTAAAGCAACTAGTGACTAGTGCAAAAAACATTTGCATTGGGCATGGAAGGTCACAAATATAGGTCATGGTCATGAGGCAAATGGCGCCTTGAGCCACAAAGCCCAGTTTGTACCTCTGGCCAGCCCAGCTCCGCGGCCCTTGAAGAATACTATGGATCAAATGCTACAGATCCGCAGCATTCAGTTCTTGCTTGATTCTTGAGCCTCTCCGGTGCAACCCATAATGTGCCTTGAGCATCATTGAACATGTTTTTGAGCACCGGCTGACTTTTGAACATGGGTGAGGCAATGGCCAGGTTGACCACAAATCAAGATCTACCGATCTACCCTCTTGCCACTTGAAGATTGCTTAGGTCAGGAAGAACTCTTTCCAAGTAACGAACACCGACCCTTGTATCTGCATATGGCAAGGAAGCAGGCCCTCATGTCGTTCCCAGCAATCCAACCGCTCTCCCTGACCTTTCGGCCACATGCCGGGAGATGTGGAGATGCGTTTTCACTTGGTTCCGCTCACTGGGCATGCCTTCGGCTGCCCTGATGGGGCCAACTGATAGAAATCGTGGTGAAATTGAAACATGTCCAATCGCTCACAGGCTCTGAACCCCTGAACCAAACCTGGCAAAAATGGTGGCTTCTGAAAAGGACGCGGCTTGGCAAACCACACAAGGAAGACAGCAAGGATGTAGCGCGCCTCTCTCTCTCGCATCGGAGATTCAAACCGTGACCTGGTGCTACATGGACTTCCCCAACTGATGAGGCATTCGCGTACCAGCACTGGATCACTGGTTTCTAGAGTAGCGACTGAGTGCTTGCGGACCATTGCAGCCAGGGGGCCCAGTCCGATCCCTCCAGACTGTCCACATCATCTATGTGGTCTATGTCTCGGCGCAAATGCAGTAGCAATGTTCGCTACTAGGAACAAGTGCATCGCTACTAGTAACAAGTGCCTTACTAGTAGTAACAAAGAAGCTCCTAGGAGCAAAGGTCAAGGACCCTGTGGGTATAGTTGCACAGAATGAGATAGATGTCACTGGAAGGTTCAGCTCAAGCTCAAGGCTTTCCTTTGAATTAAGCAGTATGTTACATATTTATTACGTGCTGTATGTGCAGCTCAGGTCAGTTAAACCTACATCAATGGAGATTTGTGGACATGCTTCTAGCGGCTTCTAGAAGCCCAGCGGTCTCCCGCCAAAGTTTTAGCCAAAGAGCCAACTTCTCTGCCAGACCAGCCACCTGAGAGCTGCATGCTCCATGGCCACACGCGCATAGATTTGGTGGTTTAATACTGGAGGCTGTTCTGGCCATGTACCATGTACTTGCATGGCCTGCATTGAGGCCATACACAAGTGCACAAAAACTGCAAAACTCCCATATGATCCCATATGCGGTTTTCACAGAAGTGTCCAAAACAGTGCTTGATCATGGTCACGCGCTTCTCCGCTGCAAAAACAGTCAACTGCTGTGTTTCTCAAGGAATCAAGGTGCTGAAGGCATTCGGGTTCCCCTCCGACTGCTCGGCTTCCTGCAGGCAAGTTGAACTCAATGTGGAACTCAATTGGCGTTCTGCACATCAAGTGCCCACGCACCACCAAGCAAAGTTAAAAAGTCAAGGCCCCCACAACTTTCACACGACGAATATGAAGCAATCAACCCCGCTCTGACTCTGCCGATGCTGCGCCTGTGGGCTGAGAGAGTGGGACACAACCTCCTCGGAGCCAAATGACGCGCCAATCTTGCAGTGCTCCCCCTCCAGGGCGAATGTCTCTCCCGCTGGGACTATGACCAGGGATCAAGTGCGTTAACAAGTCAAAGTGGTGCTGCTGTGGAATCGAGAGTATCTTGCAAAAACCTTGTCAAACCTCAAGTCTCCAATTCTATTGTCTGCTCATCTGCTCCTTTCTTCTTGTAACCCCTGCCTGCAGCACGCCTTGGGTGAAAGCAGGTGTGAACAAACCAGCTTGCAAAATATAAAACCATAAACAAAACTAAAAGGTACGGAGAACACACACACAAAAAAGGAAACGACGGCCACAATAACGACGACAACAACCAGCAAGCCCATGCATACCTTGCTGCCAGGATTCTCAGGCCTTAGCTGCAGGGAACGCAAGCCCACGGCATACCATGAGGCACAAGCACAAGCCATGCAAAAATCAAATTCAAACGTACAGTCCTCCAACATGGTGGTAGCTGCAAAAGAATCATGGTCATAGGCCAACCCCACCAGGCCAACAAAGCTCAAACATCAGAATCATTAGCGGCTGCGCCAGATTGTCAACCAAAATTGAACCGCTGAGAACCTGATAGAACCTGTATGTACTTATACCATCTTATACCGTTGTCAAGAATACATATATAGAGCATTTCAACCACGCACCTGTTTGACGTCATTAAGGATAGGCTAGACTTTTAACTTCTTTTGATTACAGTAGATCTCTCTCTCTCTCTCCCTCTCTCCCGCTTCTGCACCAAGGAGCGCTTCTTCGCTTGCTTTTGCTTCCGCTGCACCTCCTTGACATGCTTCACGGAGGGAGTCTGACCCTGGCGCAATCTTGGCATTGTTGGCCATCAATGTTGGAGGCTGCAATTCGGAGAGTGTGCCGATGTCAGGAGAGGTTGGATTGAACATGTTGAGTGGGAACAATGAAGCCTCACGGAACCACGAGACCAAACGAGATTCATGCTATTCCATCTGCTAGAGTGTTCCCATGTGTTCTGCTGTTTTTTTGCAACACTAACACTAAACATCAGAACGTTGTCATCTATGAAGTCAGTTCTATTGCGATCTACTACGCATGTTTCTTCGTCTCCGCCTTTAGTTCTGCGCTGCCTCACACTGTAGAAGCACAGGTTCTCATTGTCACCATATCAGCTATAGTAGTCGCAGCTCTTGTTTAGTTTCTGATTATCCCAGCCTCCCACATGTGCATTTCCAATTTGTGCAGGAGGGAGCTGTGCTTTGTGAGAAGGTCGACAAAAGTCCTCAGCATCATGTGTCCCCATTATTGTTCAGTCAAGCCCACTGACTGTTGTATGATATTGTATGGGTATCGTCGCGCATCACTGCCTTTCTATCACCATCACCCCTGGCATCCTCGATCTAGTAGTAACCTGCGCCGAGCAGCTGTAGGAGTAGAGAAAGCTGACCCAGGCCAATGAAACTGTAGATGATATTGAACCAGCCTTGCTCTTCTCAGGGGCCAGAAACTCTTGTGGCTGTCTTTGTCTGGCTCTAGTTATTCAAAACAGTTGATTCTGCTTTGATATGTTGGTGTTTTTCTGATGGCCTCACATCGGATACAATGTTATGACATGTTATGGCAATAATGTTTCGGTGAGACGCACCTGGCTGCTGGATGCGATCACATAGCGTCGCACATGCGGCAGGGCGCACCCATTTGTGAGGTTGAAAAAGGGTCAAGCTGCCACTGCGGGTAGAATAATAGCCGGGTACTCCTGGGACCCGACCCGGCCCGGCGGGAGATTAGTTGGTCGATTGTGTCATCCGCGGCAGCTGATGGCGGTGTGCGCGGGCTCCGACTTTCCTCTGCCGTGAAGCAGATGGGACCCCAATGGGTGGAGGCGGCTGCCAAAGGCTGGCTCTTCAAAGAGTGTGATGAGATGTGACGAGGACAGCTGTCATTGCAAAAATGAGGAAGCCCACACCCTTCCACGACTCTCAATGCCACCTTTACCTAGCCGCATGCACAATTTGCACCTCCTTGCTGGCACGCACCACCCCCTGCATGCATTGTGAGGGCGATCTGTCCCGGGTGGTCTCACACGACACCCCAACCAACCCAGGTGAAGAGCAAGTTGCCGACTGCTTTTCCTGCAGTCTCACATGGCGTTTCCCAACGGCTCCACCTTCGCGCGTGTCTGACTGAATTTTGCCGCGCCAACGTGTCCGAATCAAATGCTCCACAGGCTCGATCGCAGGCCCCCATCATCATGGGCCGGCCGGGTCTTGAAGCCAGACCTGATGCGCCTTTTTGCTTGAAGGACGCGGTCAAGCCGGCCTTGCGGGAGGCAAAGTTCCCTGGCTTCCTTTTCAGCAACCAAGGTCAACCGAGCCCGATCCCTGAACCACTGATCAACACAGCCAGGGGCTGATTTACTTAACCCCTTCCCTCCGCTACATCACCAAGACCCAGGCCCAGCAAGTTGTTACTCAGAATTCATTTCTCTCACAACTGGCTATGTGATATGCGCAGCACCAGAGCCAACCTACTCTTGTTCTATCCCCGGGCAGGAGGACAAATAGTGTTGTTGCAGGATCTGAGAGTCACTCAGTAAGCCTCTACGCAATACAGGTGGACGCTTGGCTTGACTGATGTGGCGACACTGCCATATCAACCAAAATGTTGGACTTTATGGAGGACCTGCCTGGGCGTGGTGCCACAAAAAAAAAACTCTAGCCACCCTCCAAACTACTTCTTGCATAATTAGGTTGTATCTGTGTGTTTCTTGTTTGTCAGCAATTACTTAGGGAACTTCTCGGAGTCTTCTCAGTCAATACATGGAGTCTACTGGGCACAAGCTTCCCAATCTTGCTGGGTACAAGGCCTGAGAAACAGCGGCAGCAATAAGGCTTGCAGCTGCCTTTCCCCAACCAGCCAATTAGGCAATTGGCTGTCCCAAAAGTGATTACTAACTACCGAAGCCTTCAAATGGCTATGATATGGATCTGGCGACAAGATGGACAAGCCAAAAGCCTTTGGCCAAGGGGCGCCCAGCTTCAGTGTGCGGAACAAGGTCGCCCAAACCAATGGTCATGAGCGTCTCCCAGCAAAACCACAGGGATTCCTTGGCCACGTGATCGTCGGCCCCATTGGACTGCACGATGCAAAAGCCAAGGATGCTGGCGGAATAATATACAATCTCTCCCATGCGGACCACATGACCAATTGTTTCAGATTGCTTCCAGAATTCACCAACTGACTGCGGTCTGGGCACTACAAAGGTCCAGGACTCCAAATGCATGAAGCAAATTGTACCAATGAGCACCCAGCTGAGATTGACTAAAGCCACCAGCATTGCCTCGGTCAACCAACCGACAAAAATTGGTGGTGATGATGGGGGGGCCAAAATGATTGATTGAACTGTCTTGATGACAGGGATCTGTTACCTCCGATGTCCGAAAAAGAACTGAAAAGTGACCCTGCTTTCTTGGGCCCCTCTCAGCAAATCTTACACGTTGGCTGCAAAATGCTGAACGACCCATACTTCAAATCGGCTATGCAAAGAAAGTAGGACCAAAAAGCAGACTGACCGAGGCCAAGGCAGTCTGTCGGATCTTCTTGTATTTGGCATCCGGGTACTGCAACAAAATCCTCAGCTTCAGCTTTACGCAGTCTAAAGCTGTGGCAGTGGCACACTGAAAGGCTGCTCTGTGCGTGTGTGTGTGTGTGTGTCAACACCAGTTTCTAAGGTTTTACCTGGTAATTTTACCGCCGGTTCCACTAGAAGGCTGGGTGCTACTAGTAGTTTCTGACCTTACTACTAGGACCAAAAGAAGCAGGGGGCCACAGACCTGC